CCCCCCCCCGCCACCATGTCTATGACCGGCATCAGCATCAGCTCCACTCTCCAGCAGGAGAGAAAGGGTGCGTGGCTGCCTACCTTGGCCTCCCCATGGCTCCGCCTTGTGACTGTGCCCCACGAATCGCCCCAACTGACCGACCATCCTGTCTCAGACGCCACTTGCTTCGTGAATAATCTGGATGACCGCGTGACGGAGGACATCCTGTGGGAGCTGTTCATCCAGTGTGCCCCGGTTGGTGCGTGTGCCGCGTTCGGCCCTGCCCCCTTCCCCCGGTCCTACGACGGGTTGTCCGGCCGGTCGCTAACCTGCCCCTTGCCTCTTCTGCCTGCGCTCAGTCAATGTCAAGATCCCGAAAGACCGTGTGACCCTGCAGCGCAAGGGCATGGGTTTCGTGGAGATGCTCACCGAGGCCGATGCCGAGTATGCCATTCGCATCCTCAATAACATCAAGCTGTTTGACCGGCAGATCCGTGTCCAGCGTGTGCGTGCTTCCTGCGCGTGCCCCCCCTCCCCCCGCTCCCCGCTCCCGCTTCCCCACCTCTTCGCTGAGGGGCTGCTTCGGCGGCTTCCTTTTTGCTGCCTTACCTTGCCCCCTCACCTGCCCTGCCCCCTGTCCGGCCATTCCTCTCCCCCCCCCCTCCCTCGCCACCTCCTCCCCAACATCCCATCACTCTGTCCTGTCTGGCGCGCACGCCCCCCAGAACATGGACAAGCAGATGGTCGACATCGGGGCCAACCTCTTCGTGCGCGGTCTGGCCCCCGAGGTCGACGAGTACATGCTGCGTGATGCATTCTCCCAGTTCGGAACGCTGTCACAAACGCCGCGCATCGGCCGCGACCCGGAGGGCATGCACAAGGGCTATGCCTTCGTGTCGTACACCACCTTCGAGGCGGCCGATGCGGCGATCGCCGCCATGAATGGCGAGTTTTTCGCCAACCGGACGATCAAGGTGGAGTACTCCCTGAAGAAGGACTCCAAGACCGAGCGCCACGGCTCGACAGCCGGTGCGTTTCCCAGCTTGCTGGCTCCCCCCCCCCCCCACGCCCCCCTCCTCTGCTCTCTCTTTCTCCTCCCCTTCCTGACGGTGATCTTGCCTTTCTCGATGTATTTGTACGATTTGCCTTTCCGGCATGTGTGTATGGGGGGCGGGGGAACAACGCACACAGAGCGGCTGCTGGCCCGGTCGATCCAACAGGGCGCCGAGGATGGCACCAGCTCGCGGCCGAGCCCCGCCGGCGGATCGATGGTCCTGCCGTCGTCCATGTCGGCCGGATTGGTGCAGCCAGCCATGGCCGGCGGCTTCCCCGGGGCGGCTCCCCCCGGGGCGGGTGGCATGTACCACCCCGGTCCTCATCATCCGCCCGGGCCGATGATGCACCATGGGCCGCCGCCGAGGCACCACATGCCGGGCATGATGCCGCCGCCGCCGCCCCACCAGGCGCCATTCGGGGCTCCGCCGCCGGGCATGATGATGGGCGGCGGCTTCCGGGGTGGGGCCTTCCTGCCGCCTCCCGGGGTTGGTGGTCCTCCTGGCGGTGCCTGGGGCGCGCCTATGGACGGGCCGCCGGGGATGATGCCGCCTGGAGGGCCGACTCCGCCGCACGGCGGACTGCCTCCGCAAAGCTACGGGCCGCCTGGCGGCCCCCTGCCAGGGCCGCCGGGCTTGGCTCCTGGTGGACCGTCGTCATTTGCACGAATGTAAGCAGGTTCACGCCGCTGGTTGTCAAAGCAGCGGCTGCCAGCAATAGACCCAGCGCCACGGCGCGTTCCATCCAGAATCGAACGAAAATGGTCTCCCAGTAGTCCTCCCCGAGGGGGGAATTCAGGTCCAGCGAGGAGGGGACATCTTCAAGGTCATCGGGGTTGTCCGGGGTGGGAGGCGTGTCGTCAGGGCCGGGGTGGTGATTGGCGTCCTTGGCGTCGCCGGCCGGATGTGGCGGGGAGCTCGAGGAGCCGGGAGGAGGCTCAGGACCATCGTCATCGTCATCGGGGATGTCGGTGACCGTTGGCTCCGTCGGGCTGGTGGCCTTCTCGGGGCTCGCGGTGGCTGCCTTTCGCCGGCGAATGAACTCCCGCAGCTCGCGGATGTTCAGCAGGTCAAGTGCACGCCAGATGGGCTCATCGGCATCCGGATCGGCGGGCGGCTGAGCGTCGATGTCAGCCGCGCTGTTGGGTTCGTCCGAAGGGTCGACCGAGGGCTCCGCATGTGGCCGGAGTCGTAGATCTCGGTGCCGATGGCAGCAGGCATTGGATGCACTTCGGAGCGGGGAGAAGGCCCAGGGAGCAAGGGCATACAGCGGTCAGGAGGCCATGGTCGGCGACTGGCAATGGGACCAAAGGGGGGGGGGGAGGGGGGGCGAAAAAAGAGGCAGAGGCTTGCGCACCCAAAGGCACGGGTATCCGTCCAGGACGAGGAGCGCGAGAGAGCGAAGTGGGGACACAGGGGGGACAGACAGCACGTGGAGGTGGCCTTGCCAGTGGCATAGTCCAGGGCCATGGGCATGCGGCACATTGGCGAGAAGTCCAGGCGGTCGCGCATACGCAGGACGAAGTCTCGGAGATTCGGCAGAGCTGGGTAGGAGGGAAGGAAGGCGGTCAGCTTTTGGGGAGGAGGAGCCGGGCCGTGCCGGGCCGGGCGTGCGTGCGCGCGTGTATGTATGTATGTGTGTGTGTGTGTGTGTGTGTGTGGTGGTTGGCCAAACCGGAGCGCACTCTCAAAGATGGTGTCATGGCCAAATGGCCCGACCTCCGGGAGACCGTGCCAGTAGAAGAGACCAAGGAAGGCAAATGCCGCGCAGTCGAGGATGCCCGGGAGCTCGGGATCGTCGAAGAAGTCCGACTTCCCGAGAGCCTGGCTCAGGTGGTAGAAAGTGGACAGAGCCCGGGCATAAACCTTTTCGCCCCGGCAGGAGAACAGGCAGGTGGGTGGGTGGGCAGCGGGCGGGAGAGAAGCGAGGCAGGCAGACATGTCAGCGGGGGGGCAGGTATCCGAGAGGGCGAAGCGCCCGGCCGGGGAGAAGGGGTGGGCGCACCGACTCCGCGACGAAGATCAACTCCTCCGGGGTCGACCGCTCAGACAGGTGGAAGTGGGCCAGGACCTCGCGCATGCGGCGATGGTAGGCGGAGCTGCCGGAAAAGAGGGTCCCAAAGAAGCTCTGATAGGGGGTCCGCGAGAGAGTGGCATTGGCGGGCTCGATGAAAAGGAGGAACATCTGCCAAGCACGGGGACAGGATGAGTCAAGGTCCGAAAGTGGCCAGAGAGGGCGTGCTGGGCAGAATGCCACAGCGGGAGCCCCAGGAGGCGGAGGTGTGATTCCTGTCGGACGCACCCAGGCATCCATCAGGTGGGACAGGATGGCGGCCGTGTGGCCGGTGGAGGCGGCCGACAGGGCCGGCAGGAGGGCCACATGCGGAAGGAGAGTCATCTCATCTGGGATGTAGTTGGGGGCCGAGGAGAAGCCAGCCAGGCATGTGGGATCCGAGAGGTCCACCGGCCCGGGGGACTGGTGCCCAGGCAGCCGAAGAAGGGCATCATACGACAGGTAGGTGGCGATGTCCAGCGGGTCGGCAAAGAGATCGGCCCCGTGACGCAGGGCAGGGATGGTGCCTTGTTTGGTTGTTTGTTTGGTTGTTTGTTTGTTTCCACCCCCCGCCCCAGCCAGCATGTCAGCGAGTGTGAGGTGGCGCGAGGTGGGGCAAGCGGCAGCCCGGTCACGGCAGGTGCGAGTGGCGTACCGGTTGGCACGTGTGTCGGGTCGGTCACCTCGTGGACCAGATGGTCGATGGAGAGGACCCGCAGGAGGGCATGCACCATCAACGAGCACGGGTCGAAGGAGGGCAGAAATGGGGCCCCCGATCGCAGGAGGTCCGGCTGAGGGGGGAAGGAGAAAAACGTGAGCGGCACCCAGTTGGCGGGTGCGCGCGGGAAGGGGGGCGGCATGATGTGGATTTGTCGCCGTAGGCGGGATCACGAAGAGGTGGGGCGGAGCCAAGCGAGCAAGTGTGGGGGGCCGGGAGACAAGCAGGGTGGGGGGGGGGGGGGTGCAGAAGAACCGAGGAGGAGGATGTTGAGTGGGGGGGGGGCCGGTGGGGTGGGCGTCGGGCGGGCCTTTCTTAGACCTCTCCACGATGACGCTTGCTGGTTCTGTGCGACACCGGGGGGGGCGGGCGGGGCGGGCGGGGCTGGAGATGCCTAGCCAGGCTTCGAGGGGAGGGAGAGGGAGGGGGCACGGGGAGGAGGGCGAGATTGCCGCGGATAATCACCCCCCCAACTGGGGCCCGAAGAGGGGGGGCGGGCTTGGGAGCCGTACGGCCAAGTATCTAAGCAGCTGCCCACCAACCGGGGCGGCAGAAGCAATGCGTTCTGGACGGCGATCGCCAGCTGCTGCCAGTGCAAGGTGCCACCGCGCTTGTGGAGTATGCGTACCTCGGTGATGAAGAACGCAATTCCGGCATCACACCGAAGGGCGCCAGAGCACTGTAGCAGGGTTCTCACGGATCCAGTCTTACGTCAAAGGAGTGAAGCTTTGACGGAAGCTATACCGGAAATCTTACTACTAGTTAGGGACCGCTCGGGCATGAAGGAGGGCGTACCGAACCAGAAGGGTGATGAGATTACTAGCGACGAGACAAGGTAACTCGACCTAGGGGGCGAGTTAGCGGGGCGAGCAAAATAGAAAGCAATTCGTGTAACAAAAGGGGTTCGAGAGGAAGCCTTAGAACAGATGTTCGCAGGCTGGGCTGAGACTCTGTCAGGTTGTCTTAGCATACAAGCGTATACTTCAACATCGTCAACATAGTCAACATCGTCATAGCTGCTAAGGTCTTCGCTCTCAGGAGGCTCCCGCAGGGAGTCCCCCTTTTGACCTTGGGTTGGTCGTGGGGTGGATCTGAGAACCCCGCGCGCACGCGTGTCTCCCTCCTTTCCTGGGCCACCGAACTGGCCCGGTACTCGGCGGCCATCTGGCTGTCGATCTACCCCGCATTCCTCCTGAGGAGGAATGCCATTCAAGCATGCCATAATCTCCCACGGGGCCGTTCACGTGGGGATCTTGTAATTCAACCTGTGACTTGGTTTATAGAGATTGGGGGATACCACTACAAGCACGCGAGGGTCACCTGCCCAGAGGGAAGCCCCATGACCCGCCGGGAGAGGGGATTCTTCGCCACCGCGCCCTCTCATTTGTGTCCGGTCCTCCCCCCCCCGCTGGCTTTGGTGGTCTCTGTCTACCGGCCCTTGGCAGGGGTGTCTGCGGGCGGGTGGTATTTGTTATTATTCGCGTTCTCACCCGCCGGAAATGGACTGGCGGGCATCGATGCCCAGGCCGGGGTCTCTCTCCCCCCTTGCCTCTCCCTCTCTCCGTCTCTTTGGCACCCCCTGGCAAGACATCGGTCCTCTGCTCAAGGGCGACGGACTTGCCCGATGGCCAGCCCCCCCGGAGGCCGGGCACCCACAC